GCATGGGAGGAATGGAGGAACTTTAGATAGGGCAAAGGGGAGGGAGGAGAAAGGAGAGGGCAAAGAGGTAGGAAAGACAGTGTAATGAGTTAGACATCATTCCCCTAAGTACATGTATGAAGGACACAAATGGTGTGAGAATACTTTTTATACAACCAGTGACTTGAAATTGTGCTCTATATGTGTAATACAAAATGAATTGCATTCTGCCACCATGTATAACGAATGAGAATAAATAAATAATTTAATAAAGAAAGAAAATTGTTCTGTCAGAACTTTTCTCTTGCCAGTTCCAAGCACCTGATTACAATGGAGACAAAACCAAATAATTTCTTTTTAAAATATTTTTATTTTTTTATTCAGATCTGATTGACAAATACAATTACATACACACACACACATGAAGTGTGAAATGTGATGATTTGATATATATATCTGTGAATGAACTCCATCATCAAATTAATTAATACATCTACCACCTCCCATAGTTATATTTTTGTTTGTTTATGAAAGAATGATTAAAATCTGTTCTCTTAGCAAATTGTAAGTGTACAGGTTTTATTAACTATAACCATAATGTGGTACATTTTATCCTCAAAACTTATTCAATATGTAACTTATGCTAGTACCCTTGGACCCCTATCTCTCCATTTCTTCCACCCTGCAGCTCCTGGCAAATACCATTCTTTTTGCTTATCGCATGAATTCACTGTTTTTTAAAGATTTCCATGTGTAAGTAACATCATACAGTATTTGTCTTTTTCTGTTTGATCTATTTCATTTAGCACAATGCCTATCTAGTTCTTTTATGCTGTTACCAATGGCAGAATTTCCTTCTTTCATGTAGTGGAATAATATTAATAATATTCACACACGCACACACCATTTTCTTATCTATTTAGGCATTCTTGGACATTTTGGTTGATCCTATGTCTTGGCTTTTATGAATAATGCCGTAATAAACAGTGGAGTGCAGAAAACTTCCTTTTCTTTTGCTATACGTCCAGTAGTAGAAATGCTGACTCAAATGATAGCTCTATTTTAATGTTTTGAGGCTTCATGTTGTTTTCCATCACAGTTGTTCTAATGTACATTCTTGTCAATGTTATTCAGAGTTCCTTTTTATCCACATCCTCACCAAACCCTTGTTATCTTCCCTCATTTTTATAAGGGTCATTCTAACAAGTATGAGGTAGTATTTAATCACAGTAGTTCAATTTGTGTTTCTCTAGTGATTAGTGATATTGAACTTTTGTTCAAGTACTTGTTGGTCATCTGCATGTCTTTTTTTTTGAGAAATGTCTGTTCAGATCCTTTGTCCATTTTTCAATTTGGTTATTTGTTTTCTTGCTATTGAGTTGTTTAAGTTTATTAACTGAATAATTTTTTTTCTGGCCTCAATCATTTTCTCTTTGTTTTGTGTCAAATTTCTATATATCCACAGGGATTTGCATCTTAATTGTAGTTTAGTTTCTTATTTTAATTTCTTTTTTTTTATAATCTGATGGATCAATTTTTAGTCCCACTTCCCTTATAGATATTTAAAACCCTGTTTTTTTATGTCTTCCCCCAGTATAGTATTCATAGTATTTTGATCCATTACCTTTATTTAACTCAATCCCTTTTAACCAATTTGGGCTAGTTAGGTTATAATGAAACTCTAATAGGTTAGGATCTAGCACAATAGCTTCTCTTGAGAGTAGGCCTTATTACAAAGAACAGATTGTTTTGGTTATGATATTTACAAATGCCTACGTTCTCCTCCATCTGCTAAAAGCATGAGGGAACTTTATTATTATTATTATTATTATTATTATTATTATTATTATTATTATTATTTGACTTTCAGTCTCAGAACCTGGGAAAGCTCCTGGAGATAAAATTCACAAATGTTAACATCCCCCTGAGATGCAGTTACTTTCAGACTTTTTCACTCTGAGGCTGTAGCAATTTATCAATAACAATTCACATTTTCTTACCCCTACACTGTTTATCACTGAGATTTCTGCTTGTTAGTCTCTGCTTCATTGAATTGTTGATTCTCTGCATTTACTTGCCTCTTTTCAGTTTGGGTGGGGAGCGTGGTTTGATCTGTGATTTCAGTAAACCTATTGATTTTCAGGCTAAGTTTTTTACTGATTAGGATGGAGTAATGGCTTCCAAGCTCCTTCCATGTTGGAGCAGAAACAAAAATACCTCTCTGTTCTTCCCAACTCTGAAGGATATTTTGTTTATTGTAGTATTTTGAATAGGCATATTAATTTTTTTTGTATCAGCATTTAAAGACATTCTGTCTTCTGGTTTCCACAGCTTCAGTGAGAAGTTAGTTATATTTCATTGTTACTACTCTGAAGGTAATGTATTTTTTAACTGCTCTATGGATTATGAAATGCTTAGGAATAGATGATTCTTTTGTTTATATCTTGTTTGGGGTAATTTGAAAAAATCTCAGCCAATATTTATTTAATTCTTCCTCTTGTTTAATCTCAAGTCACCAAATGCTTTAAAGATTGGACTATCTGACAGTATCTAACATCATTTTGGGCTCAATTTTTTTTTTTCAATTCCAAAGTTTGAACATTTTTGGGGGGCTTATATTTGAGTTCACAACTACTGTCATTTTCTGTGTTTCATCTGCTTTTAAAACCATCAAGAATATTTTTAATTTCAAACATTATATTTTCCATTTCTAGAAGGTCTATTTGACTAAAAATATAGTAGTCCTCCTTTTTGTGGTTTTACTTTCTATGGTTTCAGGTACCAGTGGTCATCTGTTGTTCAAAAATATTATTATGGTGCAATAAGGAATTAGCATATTTTAAGAGAAAGTGAGAGACCATATAATTTTATTATATTTATTATATTTATTAGAGTATTTTGTTATAATTATTCTATTTTACTATTATTTATTATTGTTAACTCATTACTGTGCCTAATTTATAAATTAAATTTGTGTGTGTGTGTGTGTGTGTGTGTACACAGAGAAAGAGAGAGGACATAGTATGGTTTGTATTATCTGTGGTTTCAGACATCCATTGGGGGGGTCTTGGAACATTTTCCTCACACATAAGGCACAGACTACTATAAATACAAATTTTCTGCTGAAATACTATTTTCAGAACATTTTAAACTTATTTTCTTATGCCTTAATTAACATAATAATCATGGTTAAATTCTTTATTAACTCTGTGCATAACTACTACATCTGCTTTCATTACCTATTTTATGTCTTCACTGTTAGTTATGTTTTCCTTTTTTATCCCATAACTAGTAAAATTTTATTGTATGCAGGACATGATGAATGATATGCTATATCCTCTTGGTTCAGTTACTGTCTTAGTCTGTGTTATGTTACTATAACAGAATAACGGAGTAGTTAATAATGAAAAAAAATTGTTGTCTCACAGTTCTGAAGTCTAGGATGTCCAAGATTAAGTCTCTGGCATCTGACAAGGGCCTTCTTGCTCAATGGCAAAGGGCAAAGAGGCAAAAGTGGCCAAACTCATTGTCTTATAATGCTATTAATCTCACCCATGAGGGCAGAATCCTCATGGCCCCATCACATTCAAAGATCCCATCTTCTGATACCACCACAATGGCCACCAAAAATTGACATGAGTTTGGAAGGGGACAGATATTAAATTCTAGCAGTTACCTCATAGAAAAGTTTTGGATTATTTAGCTAGTTGTCTAGGCTCATTTTCAGACTTCTTGGGGTAGATGTAGCTCCCTTCAATTTTTTTTTTTTTTAATTCAAGGGACTACTTACTTTAGGAACCTGCTGCACCCAGACACACTGATTTTTGTCACTTCTGCTCAGCAAGTCTGTCACTCTTTGCTTGTCTCTGGTTTTGCCCTACTACTTTGGAACATGCCCTCAGGATGAAAGTTGGGTTTAGTGTAAGGTTTTCCTTTTCTGTTTTCCTTTTGTCAATGTTCATATCCTGTGATGGCTGCCTTCCAATTTCTGTAAAACAATTGTTTTACAGTTCACATCTGATAGCACACAAAATTCATGTGGTTTCTTTAGTAATTTCTTCTCCTTTTTACTTGACATTTGGTAACTCACCTCATGAAGTTACTTTTCTTTAATTAGTGATGTTAACTGATTTTAACAAATTATTTTAGTAATAATTTGAGTGATAAAACAAGTCTTTTATTTTTCTTTTGGACATGAGCATTGTTTGCCGTTGCAAGGCACCTGAGGTCACTCTGAACTCAGGACCACTGTATACTAATGAAGCTTTCCAGGAACCACCTAGGCAATACAAACTTGGGTTCAGATTGACTTAATGCCTGGTGTACTTCTTATTCAGCTTTACCTTAGTACTGCATAATTGGTTTATCTAGGGATCACATCATTGTCATAGAATGACAAATTTAGAAAAACAAAATGAAATTATTATACATAAGTATAACTTTATAGTTTAAATATTCTTTTTAAAAATTTCTAATCTTGGCAGTTTCTGTGCATTGATTTTTGTTTTCCTCCACAAACTAAGCTCTCAAAATGAAACTTAAAATTCTCTGGGACTGACAAATAACATTAAGGACACAATGTCTCCAGTGCTTTGCTTACCTTTTGAGTTTCTTAATTTTCTTTTCAATTCATATCCTGCTAATTTCTATCTTGTCAGGTTCTTAATGTTTTCAAAAGGGGTGTGTGTGTGTGTGTGTGTGTGTGTATGTGTGTGTGTATGTATGACTGTGGAGTTCATCAATTTTTTTTTTTGTTTTTGTTAGGAGGTATGATGGATCTAATAACTCAGAAATCCAGTGATAGTTTCTACAATTCTTCTTCAAATTGCATAACAGTAATAAGTACATTTGGTACTTAATTAAAATATGATTTGATATATCATTACTTATACTATTTATTAAAATTTGAATTTCCATTTCCTTGAAATAATTTTATTAATTAAAGATTAAACTTATGCTTTTTCTGACTGAACTAAGTATAAAAATGCTTTTTTATCCACCCCTCTCCATCTCGCCCTCAGAGCCGTTTGGATGTGTATTTTTCACAGAACCCAGCAGGAACATCTGTTCAAAATATGCTCCACTGGAGTCAGGTATAACAAAAGGAATAAGGTAACGGATAAGTAAATTATCCTCCTATGATAGAAGGGGATAGACATCATAGGAAAGAAAAGTGTATCTCAGTGTGATTAACTTACACTACTCATGGTTTACTTCATCATTATAGAAATCATGTCACTGCTGTAGAATGACAAATTCATAGGGATAAAATGAAGTTATTACATATTTGTATGAATCTTTATTGTTTATATAATGTATTAACGTCATATCTATTGGATCCTCTAAACTTCAGCAATAACAGAGCAATATAACTATTTCTTACAAATGACAAAATGTTAGTCAGAACAGAAGAATAGGGACCATCTATTCCACACACCTCACTTGACTTGTCCAAGATTCAAAGCTAAGACTAGAACCCAGTTCTCCTGATGCCCAGTCTGAAATGCTTTCTCTAGACTGCACTTTTTTTCTATGTTAAGCTGTAAGCCTTTTGAGGACCATGGGAAAGTTTTGTTCACTTTTGTATTTCCAAGACTAACATTTCTTGGCATATAATAGATATTAAACTAATATTTGTTTAATGACTGATACTGAAAAAGAGAAAAATCAAGTATGAATGTAATCTTAATGTTCAAGCTAGGACAATGCAGTAGAAAGAACATTTTCCTGGGAATAAAAAACCAAACATTAATTTTTTCTTTGAACCTTACTGGGAGGGTAACATTGAATAGTTGTTTTAACCTTTCTGAATAAGTTCCTGATTTTTAAAATGAAATCATTCTTTAACCTAACAAAAATATTATAATAGAATGATGATTATAAAAGTTCTTTAAAGCTAATAAACACTAAAAAATTAAAGTATTATTAAGATATTAGATAAAACTTTTCCAATTACAAAATGTTTACATTTATGAAGTAATTGTTTTGATGTAATCATTATAAATATTCATTGTAACTTATCTTTAAATTTTGTTTACCCCTGATGTTTGCTTCATCAGGAAAATCAAATTAATCTTTGTATTTCTTCATCCATTATAATAAGGTTTTCTGAGTGCCTACAATGTGCCCTATATTGTACTATACTCATGGGAAACACAAGTGAGCTAAACAAAGATGCTTGTGTTCCTTAAGCTTACATTTTAGTAGTTGATACACAAGGAATAAAGAATAAGGTAGGGGGCTGGAGTTGTAGCTCAGTCATAGAGCACTTGCCTAGCATGTGAGAGGCACTGGGTTCAATTCTCAGTACTGCATGTAAATAAATAACATAAAAGTCCATTGACAACTAAAAAAATCTTTTTTTTTTTAAATTAAAGATGCCATTTATTTCATCAAAGATATCAAATACTAAAGAATTAATTTCTCACTGTATACAATTGCCAACAGTGAAATGAAAAATTATAGTCCTATGAAAACTCACGTGTGAAATTTTTTTTTTTTTTTTTTTTTACCCATCACTTCAAATATTTATTATGCCTTGTGTTGGAAGCATTCAAAATCTCTCTACTAGCTATTTTGTTTTTTGTTTTTTTTTTTTAATTTTTTATTGTTGGCTGTTCAAAACATTACATAGTTCTTGATATATCATATTTCACAATTTGATTCAAGTGGGTTATGAGCTCCCATTTTTACCCCATATACAGATTGCAGAATCACATCAGTTACACATCCATTGATTTACATATTGCCATACTAGTGTCTGTTGTATTCTGCTGCCTTTCCTATCCTCTACTATCCCCCCTCCCCTCCCCTCCCCTCCCCTCTTCTCTCTCTGCTCCCTCTACTGACATTCGTTTGTCCCCCTTATATTATTTTTCCCCTTCCCCTCACTTCCTCTTGTATGTAATTTTGTATAACTCTGAGGGTCTCCTTCCATTTCCATGCATTTTCCCTTCTCTCTCCCTTTCCCTCCCACCTCTCATCCCTGTTTAATGTTAATCTTCTTCTCATGCTCTTCGACCCTACTCTGTTCTTAGTTACTCTCCTTATATCAAAGAAGACATTTGGCATTTGTTTTTTAGGGATTGGCTAGCTTCACTTAGCATAATCTGCTCTAATGCCATCCATTTCCCTGTAAATTCTATGATTTTGTCATTTTTTAATGCAGAGTAATACTCCATTGTGTATAAATGCCACATTTTTTTTATCCATTCGTCTATTGAAGGGCATCTAGGTTGGTTCCACAGTCTAGCTATTGTGAATTGTGCTGCTATGAACATCGATGTAGCAGTGTCCCTGTAGCATGCTCTTTTTAGGTCTTTAGGGAATAGACCGAGAAGGGGAATAGCTGGGTCAAATGGTGGCTCTATTCCCAGCTTTCCAAGAAATCTCCATACTGCTTTCCAAATTGGCTGCACCAATTTGCAGTCCCACCAGCAATGTACAAGTGTACCCTTTTCCCCACATCCTCGCCAGCACTTGTTGTTGTTTGACTTCATAATGGCTGCCAATCTAACTGGAGTGAGATGGTATCTTAGGGTGGTTTTGATTTGCATTTCTCTGACTGCTAGAGATGGTGAGCATTTTTTCATGTACTTGTTGATTGATTGTATGTCCTCCTCTGAGAAGTGTCTGTTCAGGTCCTTGGCCCATTTGTTGATTGGGTTGTTTGTTCTCTTATTGTCTAATTTTTTGAGTTCTTTGTATACTCTGGATATTAGGGCTCTATCTGAAGTGTGAGGAGTAAAGATTTGTTCCCAGGATGTAGGCTCTCTATTTACCTCTCTTATTGTATCTTTTGCTGAGAAAAAACTTTTTAGTTTGAGTAAGTCCCATTTGTTGATTCTAGTTATTAACTTTTGTGCTATGGGTGTCCTATTGAGGAATTTGGAGCCCGACCCCACAGTATGTAGATCGTAGCCAACTTTTTCTTCTATCAGACACAGTGTCTCTGATTTGATATCAAGCTCCTTGATCCATTTTGAATTCACTTTTGTGCATGGCGAGAGAAAGGGATTCAGTTTCATTTTGTTGCATATGGATTTCCAGTTTTCCCAGCACCATTTGTTGAAGATGCTATCCTTCCTCCATTGCATGCTTTTAGCCCCTTTATCAAATATAAGGTAGTTGTAGTTTTGTGGATTGGTTTCTGTGTCCTCTATTCTGTACCATTGGTCCACCTGCCTGTTTTGGTACCAGTACCATGCTGTTTTTGTTACTATTGCTCTGTAGTATAGTTTGAAGTCTGGTATCGCTATACCGCCTGATTCACACTTCCTGCTTAGCATTGTTTTTGCTATTCTGGGTCTTTTGTTTTTCCATATGAATTTCATGATTGCTTTCTCTATTTCTACAAGAAATGCCGTTGGGATTTTGATTGGCATTGCATTAAACCTATAGAGAACTTTTGGTAATATCGCCATTTTGATGATGTTAGTTCTGCCTATCCATGAACAGGGTATATTTTTCCATCTTCTAAGATCTTCTTCTATTTCTCTCTTTAGGGTTTTCATTGTATAAGTCTTTCACCTCTTTTGTTAGGTTGATTCCCAAGTATTTTATTTGTTTTGAAGATATTTTGAATGGAGTGGTTGTCCTCATTTCCATTTCAGAGGATTTGTCGCTGATATACAGGAATGCCTTTGATTTATGCGTGTTGATTTTATATCCTGCCACTTTGCTGAATTCATTTATTAGCTCTAATAGTTTCTTTGTAGACCCTTTTGGGTCTGCTAGGTATAGAATCATGTCATCTGCAAATAGTGATAATTTAAGTTCTTCTTTTCCTATTTTGATGCCTTTAATTTCTTTCGTCTGTCTAATTGCTCTGGCCAGTGTTTCGAGAACTATGTTGAACAGAAGTGGTGAGAGAGGGCATCCCTGTCTTGTTCCAGATTTTAGAGGGAATGCCTTCAATTTTTCTCCATTCAGAATGATGCTAGCCTGAGGCTTAGCATAGATTGCTTTTACAATATTGAGATATGTTCCTGTTATCCCTAGTTTTTCTAGAGTTTTGAACATAAAGGGATGCTGTACTTTGTCAAATGCTTTTTCCGCATCTATCGAGATGATCATATGATTCTTATTTTTAAGTCTATTGATGTGGTGAATAACATTTATTGATTTCCGTATATTGAACCAGCCTTGCATCCCAGGGATGAATCCTACTTGATCATGGTGCACAATTTTTTTGATAAGTTTTTGTATCCGAGTGGCCAGAATTTTATTGAGGATTTTTTCATCTAGGTTCATTAGAGATATTGGTCTGTAGTTTTCTTTCTTTGAAGTGTCTTTGTCTGGTTTAGGTATCAGGGTGATGTTGGCCTCGTAGAATGAATTTGGAAGTTCTCCCTCTTTTTCTATTTCCCGAAGTAGCTTGAAAAGTATTGGTATTAGTTCCTCTTTAAAGGTTTTGTAAAACTCTGCTGTATACCCATCCGGTCCTGGGCTTTTCTTAGTTGGTAGTCTTTTGATGGTTTCTTCTATTTCCTCAATTGATATTGGTCTGTTTAGGTTGTCTATATCCTCCTGACTCAATCTGGGCAGATCATATGACTTAAGAAATTTATCGATGCCTTCACTATCTTCTAATTTATTGGAGTATAAGGATTCAAAATAATTTTTGATTATCTTCTGTATTTCTGAAGTGTCTGTTGTGATATTGCCTCTTTCATCCCGTATGTTAGTAATTTGAGTTCTCTCTCTTCTTCTCTTCGCTAGCATGGCTAAGGGTCTGTCGATTTTGTTTATTTTTTCAAAGAACCAACTTTTAATTTTGTCAATTTTTTCAATTGTTTCTTTTGTTTCGATTTCATTAATTTCAGCTCTGATTTTAATTATTTCTTGCCTTCTACTTCTTTTGCTGTTGTTTTGCTCTTCTTTTTCAAGGATTTTGAGATGAAGTATGAGATCATTTATTTGTTGGTTTTTTCTTTTTTTAAGGAATGAACTCCAAGCAATGAATTTTCCTCTTAGAACTGCTTTCAATGTGTCCCATAGATTCCGATATGTTGTGTCTGTGTTTTCATTTATCTCTAAGAATTTTTTAATTTCCTCCTTGATGTCTTCTATAACCCATTGATCATTCAGTAAC